TTTTTGAGACAGAGTCTCAATCTGTCACTCAGGCTGGAGTGCAGTGGTGAGATCTTCACTCACTGCAACCTCTGCCTCCCGGGTTCAACTGATTCTCCTGCCTCAGCCTCCAGAGTAGCTGGGATTACAGGTGTGCGCCACCACACCCGGCTAATTATTGTACTTTTTGTAGAGATGAGGTTTCAGCATGTTGGCCAGGCTGATCTCGAACTCCTGACCTCAGGTGATCTGCCTGTCTCGGTCTCCCACAGTGCTGGGCTCACAGGTGTGAACCACCACGGCCAGCCACCAGGAGACTTTGAGGTGCTGTTATGGAGCGACTGCTGCATGTCATGGAAGTGAAAACACAAGATGCAGAACAGGGAACATAATTTGTGTTTTTTTGAAAAAAGAGGAAAAGTAGGCCGGGCGCCGTGGCTCACGCCTGTAATCCCAGCACTTTGGGAGGACAAGGCGGGCGGATCACGAGGTCAGGATTTCAAGACCAGCCTGACCCACATGGTGAAACCCCATCTCTACTAAAAATACAAAAATTAGCCAGGCATGGTGGCGGGCGCCTGTAATTCCAGCTACTCGGGAGGCTGAGGCAGGAGAATTGCATGAACCCAGGAGGTGGAGCTTGCAGTGAGCCGAGATCGTGCCATTGCACTCCAGCCTGGGCAACAGAGCTAGACTCTATCTCAAAACAAAAAAAAAAGAAAAGGAAGAAAAAAGAGGATAAGTGATAGGCTTGTTTGCTCCTGTGAGAATCTCTCTCTGGACAGTGTCCAGGGACCTGACAGCAGCTGGACGGGGCAGGAGGCAGGCACTCCACAGCCTTTTATACCTTCAGGCTTTGAAACATACGAATGCATTGCCCAGTTCAAAATTACATGTATATTTTAATCTAATAAGGACTGTTCAGGAGAAGCTGTGGAGGGGCAGAGCCAGGCTGGCCACCCCAGCAGGGTCCCTGCGGTGCTGGTACATCAGCCTTGAATCGGCTGTGGCCCCCACACCAACCGCCCTTCTCCCTCCGAGGGGACGGGGCACCCACCTGCCCCAGGGTGCATTCCATGCCCCCCAGGAAGTCGTCCTCCTGACAGCTGAAGCCGCTGGGCCCATGCGTGTCGTATACCTCAAAGCGCAGCCTCTGCACCTCCTCGAAATAGTAGTCCACGGTGAAGACTTTGGAGAACACGGGATGCAGGCTGCTCCGGACCACCTCAGTTCTGCCCACCTGCAGGTGCACCCTGTGAGCTGACCCCACTCGAGGGGCTTCCACCCCAGGCTCCAGCCCTGTCTCCCCTCTGCCGCTTACCCACACCCACACACCCCAGGAGGACTCACACCCTGGGAAGACCTCCTCCTGCCTGCTCTCTGTCCATGGAACTGTACTCCCGAGGGCCACCCTGGGGGTCACCCCTGGCCAGCTGCGGGCTGCAGCTTCTCAGCTCACACCCACCACTGTCTGCTCCACCCTCAGATCACAGATGGGGAAACTGAGGCTCAGAGAGGATGAGAAGGACATGCTGAGTCGGGGGCGAGATCAGATTCACACCCTGGGCTGGGCAACCCTGAAGTGCAGGACGCTGCCTGGCACCAGCTGAGTGGGGAGGGGGCGTAGGGTACAGGGGAGCCCTCCCTCCTGGCTGGGGTACCATGGGCTCACCAGCCTCTCCCATTCGGCGCAGTTCCCTGGTCAAAATGCTCCCTAACGACAAGACCCAGCTGGGCCCGTGGGCTACTCATCTCAGAATCCCGAAAAATCCTGCACCTCAAACCAAGGGCAAGCATGGGCCACCCGTACAGCTCAGGCTCTGAGGGGCGGGCACGGGGCCTCCTGGGGGAGCCGGAGCCGCGGGGACAGGCGGTGGGGG